ACAATCTAGTGATGTACACCCCAAATTGTGCTTTTTCCTTTGAAAACATTGGATTGTCAATTTGCTTAAGATCAAGTAAGTTACTTAAAAGAGAGGCTTTTAAAAGAAAATTTCAGTAGGCTTGGCACTTGTAGCTCAGAAGCTAGGGCACTAGCCACATACACCAGAGCTGACGGGTTCAAATCCAGCCTGGGCCTGCCAAACAACAATGACAACTACAATGGCCAGCTGTTGTGGCGGGCACCTGTAGTCCCAGCTACTTAGGAGGCTGAGGCAAGAGAATTGCTTAAGCCCAAGAGTTGGAGGTTGCTGTGAGCTGTGATGCCACAGCATTCTATACCAAGGGTGATGTAGTGAGACTTTGTCTCAAAAAAAAAATTTTTTTTTCAGTGATACAAAAGACTAAAAATCTGATTATCTCAGTTGTTACAGGTTGCCTCAACCTCTGGCTACTTCTCTATCCAATCACATAGACGTGAGAAATAGTCATTCCTCTTTACTCCTAAAACTGCTCACTACAACCTCCCTTCAGGTTCTCCGTGATTTCCCTAACGAAATCAGGGTTGGTGTATCATTTAACCTGTTTTTAAAGAGAAACTGAGAATTCCCAAAGGAGCTTCGAGATCGGATCCAAAGGCTCAATTCAGTGTAATACGTATAGCTTTAAAAAAAGCCCAAGGAGCAAATAAAGGAATCCTCAGGGTTCTTATTACAAAGTCATAATGTTATAGGAAACAAGCATCTTAATATAATCACCCCATTTTTATGGAAGAAGAAACCCAGGCCCAGAGCAGTTATTCACACAGGCATTGTAGTAGAGGGGAAAACCACAGGTTTTGGAGTCAACTCTAGAACTTAGTAGTTAGGTGACTGGAAAAGTTACTCATTCAACCTCAGTTTTCTCAAATCTAGAAACAAGATTCTTCAATTAAACAAATTCATTCAACAACTATTTGTTTAATGTCAGTCACGTGCCAGGCACTGTGTTAGGCACTTAGGATGCAGTGGCGACCAAGACAGACCGACTCTGATCTGTCAGGTACTAGCAATGGAGCAAGGAAATCAGGCAGCGGACAATTACTACGTAAGAATAACTATGATCAATGCAATGAGAGAGGAAATGTCAGGAACTACAGGAGGGCACTGCAGGAGGCTTCCAGAAATGAAGCAGAGAAGGCTTCCTTAGGGGAAGTAGAACGGCAGTATCTACCTCAGAGGCTGATCAATTAAAAATGCTTCCTCCACCCACTCTGGTACACAGTAGGTGACTAACTGATGCTATTTTCAGTCCCTCAAAAATTCTTTCAGAGAAGGAAAAAATACCATTTATTTAGTATTATAAACTCTCTCACTCTTTCTCTAAAAAAAAATATGACTTAATCAACTGACAAGGCACAACAACTTAATGAGAAAGCAGAAGAAGGAAAAATATCGGATACGAATTTCTATTTCCTCTCCCTTTGTCATTACAACACATTGGGACCAGGACAGGAAAACTGCTGTACAAAAAGCACTATTAGCCGACAGGCATCACAACCTCTATCTGAAGGTCAACTAAAAACAGGGCTTAAAAATCAATGTTGGCGAAGCTTACACTATTTGTCTGTAAAAAGGAGCAAGAGATCAGTTGCACAACTGAGCAGCCATGCATCACTGCAATTAAAACAATTAAAATGAAGTCTGTCAATGAAAAATGTATGCTCCAGATGGATCCAGCACTGTATATAAAATTACTTTAAAAAATTGCCTTCAGTTAATCTTTTAGTAGAAACGTATGTAAAAAAAAGCTGATTGAATCAATTAATTGTTAGATACTGACGTTAAAAATGATAGTCAAAAGAGTAATTAAGGAACATGGAAAAATGACCCATTTATTGTGATATTTTTAAAAAATTAGAATAAAATTTGCATGTTCATTATAATAACTGTTCGGAAATATGTATGTGTGTGAACAAAGACTAAGTGTGAATATATAAAAAATGAAATTTTACATGAGATTATGGGTGAAGTTTTTATGTACAATATTTACAAGTTTTCTTTAGTATTGTTAAAATATTGCTTTATTATAAAATACAACAAGCAATAGTTTCAAGGCCTTACAGTTACAAATAGGCTAAAATATTTCTAGAATCATTTGTCTCAAGTTGGAAACAAAGTTTCTTTTCTATTTTTAAGGCAAACACCTGCTAACACCTGCTACATACATAAAAGTATTTCCAGGGGAGCAGGACTCTCTCAGTAAGCAAGGCATTCAGGTATATTCCAGATGGTTTCTGGAGCTACTGCTCACGCTCTCAGAAGTCCATTGATTCTAAGAGCCATCAAGGTCACCCTTAATCTAGAGATCTGGCCAGGTCATGGCTCTGTCTGTATCCTGGCTCTCCTCCTGAAGGTAGGATGCTCTTCAGTCAACTCATGATTCTGCACTCATCAAAATAATTATAACAAAGTTTCTCTATAGAAATGAATTTAATAAAAGCAAAATTTATGTCACCATGACATAAAAATTTTGGCAGTTCTTATACAAGTTCTTTTTTTATGGTTAGAAAGTCTGCTTAGCTTTCTACTATATTTCCATAGCTCAACAAAGTACATACTAGGATCTAAACAAACAGGGTATCCATAAAGTTCATGTGCAATTTACTATGTTAAACTATTATACATTGCACGTGAACTTTATGTCCACCCTGTATTTGCCAAAAAAATTTTGGTTTGTCTTTTTGTTGAGGCAGAGTCATACTTTGTCGCCCTGGGTAGATGTGATGGTGTCATAGCTCACAACAACCTCAAACTCCTGGCTTCTGACGATCCTCTTGCCTCAGACTCCCAAGTGGCTGGGACTACAGGTGCCTGCCACTATGCCCAGCTAGTTTTCTATTTTTAGTAGAGACGGGGTCTCCCTCTTGCTCAGGCTGGTCTTGAACTCCTGAGCTAAGGCTATACACATGTCTGGCCTCCTGGAGTGCTAAGATTACAGGCATAAGCCACCATGCCCAGCCTCAGTAGATTAATTTTAATGGCAAAATCCTTACTAATAAAATTTACCTTAGTCATTACATTATTAAAACATTCTCAGGTGTAAAACATTCTATTCATTAAATATAGCAGTGAATATTAAACAAACATTTACTAACTTCTAAAAGTTTGTTTTAATGGATTAGTTTTAAGTGTTAATAGAATATAATCAAAATTTGTGGACTACTTAAGAGTAAAACAAGGGAGATAAAAGCATTAAAAAATTATTCCTGCAGTGAAATTCAGGAGAAAAATAGTTCTTACAAGGATAGCAAATGTAAATTTGTACTTAGCACAGTTACTTTTCTGTTCCATGAGGAAACTATACATTAACGGTATCCTACTACATTTTTTTTTATTATCCTACTACATTTTGAAAAGATTAAAAAGTAAGTCCTCAATGTAGTACACTATAAGAAGTTAGTGGACTGTTTTACATTCTGTGCTTACTACTAAAAAATTCTAAAACTTTTTATAATTAGTCAGAGCCATAACTGCCCTGAAGACTTGGGGTTTTTGCCTTTTACTTCAAATTAAATGATTAACAGATAACAGTACGCTGGCGTGTTAGCCACAAAACCATTTTAGTTTGGTAAAGATTTTACGTTAATAAAAACAGACTGTTTTTTACACAAATTCTAGGTCACGTAAGAACATTTAGAAGATACTACAGTTTTTTTTAGGATCATGTTAGCTTTGACCTAGCATCAACTAAATGAAACTGTTCTTAGGTAGCAAAAATATACACATTGAGAATTCTGGGGAATCAGCATTTTTATATATACACCCTGAGAATTCTTAGGACTCTGTATTCTAATTTCACTTCTCTCTTTTTGAGTCAAGAGTTCTAGTTAGCCAGCTGAACATACTTATTTTTACCATGTTTGTATTCAAACTAAAGGTTATAAATCTAACCAAAGTCACAGAATGCCTAGTAGGAACAAAGAGTAACAAGTTCAAATTAAAATAAAGGGTATGTACCATGTTAAAAAAAAAAGTAGCTTTTACACACTTAAGGCCTTTTTAAAGTTAAAATGTAAATATATTTAGAAGCAATAATCAAGTTATTAAAAAAATTAACTTAGGGGAGGTTCCTGTGGCTCAGTGAGTAGGGTGCAGGCTCCATATACCAAGGGTGGCGGGTTTGAACCTGGCCCTGGCCAAACTGCAACAAAAAAATAGGCGGGTGTTGTGGCAGGTGCCTGTAGTCCCAGCTACTTGGGAGGCAGAGGCAAGAGAACCGCCTAAGCCCA